ACCGAGGCTGGCATGCATCTCTTGGTAAGAGTATTGAAAGGAATTTCGAAAATATTCAAGATTTTCGAAAAATGCTGGAAAATGTCTGAAAAGCGCACAATAACAAAAAAATTGAAATTTTTGAAAAAATCTGGAAAGTGACATTTTTCAAAAATTTTGGTTTGTGCGCGTTTTGGACAATTTCCAGCATTTTTTTGATTTTTTGAAATTTTTTAAAAAATTAAATTTTTCTTCAAAATTCACCCCACCTGATGCCATAAAGAACCGGTCGCTGTCAGACTGTGTCTAACGTACTGTAACTCTGACGAATGCGGTCTGTGCCTCACACGGTATATGACGTGCAGTCTCTGAAAAGCCCAGGTGCGAGAGACAACACGTAATGCAGACACCCAGACGGGTAGGTACACGTTCTGTCACACATTGTGCCCTGCAGAGGCCGGTTGGTGCAGAAACCGAGTCAGACAGCAATCCGGAAGGATAGAGGACGAGTCCGGAAGACATGTTGAGGCATTCGCCGAGGCTGGCATGCATCTCTTGGTAAGAGTATTGAAAGGAAAATTTGAAAATTTTCAAAATTTTCGATAAATCAAAAAATGCTGGAAAATGTCTGAAAAGCGCACAATAACAAAAAAAATTGAAATCTTTGAAAAAATTCTGGAACGTGAAATTTTTCAAAAAATTTTGGTTTCAGCGCTTTTTGGACAATTTCCAGAATTATTTTATTTTTAAAAAATTTAAAAAAGGCAATTCTTTCAAAATTCACCCCACCTGATACCATAGAGAACCGCTCGCTGTCGGACTGTGTCTGACGTACTGTATCTCTGACGGACGCAATCTGTGCCTCACGGTATCTGACGTGCCGTCTCTGAAAAGCCCGGGTGCGAGAGACAACACGTAATGCAAACACCCAGACGGGCAGAGACACGGGCTGTCACACATCGAGCTCTGCGGAGGCCGGTTGTGCAGAAACCGAGGTAGACAGCAATCGGGAAGGATAAAGGCCGAGTCCCGAAGACAGGTTGAGGCATTCACCGAGGCTGTGATGCATGGCTTGGTAAGAGTATTGAAAAGAATATTTGAAAATTTTCAATATTTTCGAAAATTCGAAAAATGCTGGAAATTGTCTGAAAAGCGCACAAAACCAAGAAAATTTGAAATTTTTGAAAAATTCTGTAAAGTGGAATTTTTCAAATTTCACTCCACCTGATGCCATACAGAACCGATCGCTCTCGGACTGTCTGACGTACTGTGTCTCTGACGAACGCGGTCTGTGCCTCACACGGTATCTGACGTGACGTCTCTGAGAAGCCCAAGTGCGGGAGACAACACGTAATGCAGACACCCAGCCGGGCAGAGACACGGGCTGTCACACATCGAGCTCTGCAGAGGCTGTTTGTGCAGAAACCGAGGCAGACATCAATCGGGAAGAATAGAGGCCGTGTCCGGAAGGCAGGTGAGGAATTCACCGAGGCTGGCATGCATTTTTTGGTAAGAGTATTGAAAAGAAAATTTGAAAATTTTCGAAAAATACTGGAAATTGTCTGAAAAGCGCACAGAAACAAAAATTTGAAATTTTGGGAAAATTTATGGAACGTGGAATTTTTTATTTTTTATTTTGTGCGCTTTTTGGACAATTTCGAGCATTTTTTGATTTTTTGAAAATTTTAATTTTTTTTCAAAATGTCTTTCAAAATTGACCCCACCTGAAGCTTTGTAAAACGTATCGCTGTCGGACTGTTTCTGGTGTACTGTGTCTCCGACGAAGCGATCTGCCTCATACGGTCTTTTACGTGCCATCTCTGAAAAGCCTTTGTGCGGGAGGCAACACGTAAGGCAGATACCGAGACGGACACGGTCGGTCACACATGGAGCCCTGCAGAGGACGGTTGATGCAGAAACCGAGGCAGACAGCAATCGGAAAGGATCGAGGCCGAGTCCTGCAGAGACAGTGTGAGGCACACACCGAGGCTGGCATGCATGTCTTGGTGAGATTTTTGAAAAACAATTGAAAATTTTCAAAATTTTCATAATTTCTTTCAAAATTCTCCCCACCTGATGCTTTGCAGAACCGGTCTCTGTCGTACTGTTTCTGACGTACTCTGTCTCTGACGAACGCGGTCTGTGCCTGACACGCTCCTTGACGGGCCGCCTCTGAAGAGCCCTGATGCTGCAAAAATCGAGACGGGCAGAAACTCGGTCGGCCACACAACGAGTCGTACAGTAGCCGGTTGGTGTAGAAACCGAGGCAGTCAGAAACGGGTTGAGAGAGAGGTCGAGTCCGGCAGACACAGGATGTGGCATTAACGAAGGGCGGCTTGCATCTGTCGAGTAGAGTTTTGAAAAGAGATGAAAATTTTCAAAAATTTCGAAAAATCAAATTATGTTGGAAATTGTGTGTAAAGCGCACAATACCAAAAATTTTGGAAAATTTATGAATGTGAAATTTTTCAATTTCTTTTATTTTTTGCGCTGTTTGGACAATTTCCTTCCTTTTTCTATTTTTCGAAAACCTTGAATTTTTTAAAAACTTCTTTTTAAAATTCTCCCCACCTTATGCCTCGCAGAACCAGTGTCCGTTGGACTGTTGCTGATGTACTTTCCCTTTTGGGGAATTTCCAAAATGTTTCGATTTTTCGAAAATTTTGAAATTTTTCAAAAATTCTATCAAAGTTCTCCCCGCCTGTTGCCTTGCAGAGCCAGTCTCTGTAGAACTGTTTCTGATGTACTCAGCCTCTCACGAACGAGGTTTGTGCCTGAAACGCGTCTTGACTTGCCGTCTCTGAAGAGACCAAATGCGGCAGAGAGAAAGAGAGACGGTCAGAAACACGGTCGGCCACAAAACGAGTGGTACGAAGGCCGGGTGGTGCAGACACCGAGGCAGTCAGCAACGGGTTGAGATAGAGGCCGAGACCGGCAAAGACAGGTTGTTGCAGAACCGGTCTCTGTCGGACTTTTTCTGATGTACTCTGTCTCTGAAGTACGCGGTCGGTGCCTCACCCGCTCCCTGACGTGCCGACTCTGAAGAGCCCAGGTGCGGCAGACACCAAGTAACGCAGGGACCGAGACGGGCATAAACACGATCGGCCAAACACCGAGTCGTACAGAGGCCGGTTGGTGTACACACCGAGGCAGTCAGCAACGGGTTGAGATAGAGGCCGAGACCGGCATAGACAGGTTGTTGTAGAACCGGTCTCTGTCGGACTGTCTCTGATGTACTGTCTCTCTGACGAACGGGGTCTGTGCCTGACACGCTCCTTGAAGTGTCGTTTATGAAGAGCCCAGGTGCGGCAGACACCACGTAAGGCAGACGGACGGGCAGAAACACCGTCGGCCACACAGTGAGTCGTACAGTGGCCGGATGGTGCAGTCATCAACGGGTTGAGATAGAGGCCGAGTCCGGCAGAGACAGGATGTTTCATTCACTGAGGTCGGCATGCACCTCTCGGGGAGAGTTTTGAAAAAAAATGAAATTTTTCATAATTTTCGAAAAATCAAAAAATGCTGGAAATTATGTGAAAAGTGCACAAAACCAAACATTTTTGAATGTGAAATTTTTCAAATTTTTTTGTTTCGTGCGTTTTTTGGACAGTTTCCACCACGTAACGCAGAGACCGATACGAGCAGAAACACGGCCATCTAGGAAGTCTGCAATCGGGAGATACAGAGGCCGAGTCCGGCAGGGACAGGAAGAGGCATTCTCTGAGGCTGGTATGCATGGCAAATTGGAAGATTTTTAAAATTTTCGAAAAATCAAAAAGTGCTTTAAATTGTCTGAAGAGCGCACAAAACTGAAATTTTTGAAATATTTGAAAGAAGGTTTGAAAGTGGAAAATTTCAATTTTTTTTGTTTTGTGGGCGTTTTGGACAATTTCCAGCATTTTTTGATGTATTGTTTCTGATGTACTGTGTCCCTGACGAACGCGATCTGTGCCTCACAGGGTCTCTTAGGATAGAAACATCGAAAACTTAAAGCTGTATGACCTGCTACGCCCACTATTAGTTAAGACATGAACTAGTGTAAAGGTAAGTGAACTGCCTCACCATCTGTTAGGAAGGTACAAACTAATGAGCCCGCGAAAGTTTTATGACTCGTTCACCTCCTTCGGTGTCCTGTAGCCCGAATAGAAACATCGAAAACTGAAAGCTATGTGACCAGCTACGCCCTCTATTGGCAAAGACATGAACTAATGAAAAGATATGTGAACTGCAGCGCCATATAACAATCATTATTTTAATATCATCAGAGAAGAATAATTTTATATTTCTGCCTCCGCTGCGACAAACCTGGTTTCAAACTGCGTTATCCACAGGTAAAAAAAGAGCTGCAAGTTACACAGAGCACTCCATCAGCTCCAGACCTGCACTGGGAATCGAACCCCGGCCTCCCAACTCATAGGTATGTAGGTTCACACGGTGTGAGTCTGAAGATGGCTGTCTTCTCAATCGCCCTGATGATGGAGGCAGTAAAGACCGATGAAACGAAGGTAAACTTCTACAGGACTACAGGGTGCAAGAACCCAGAAGACAGCCATCTTCAACCCTGTGCTGCTACTTATTTGTTAATACGTAAAGAATGAAATGGAGAATGGAAATTGAAAATTAAAGCCTGCTCCTGTGTCTAACTTTTAACATTCAAGCTGTCACAATTAAAATAAATGATGACAAACACCAGTATATATGTATACAGATTTATCAGTTAAGGTGTGGAAAATATGTTTTTTTAGAATGCAGTGTATTTATGAATCAGCTGTTTGTACATAATACGTTTTACTGTCGTCCATTGCTCTTTCTTTCTGCAGGAATTCCTACGTGCACAGGTTTGTATGCATGTAACAAAGAGTTGTTTTACCATAAATAAATGTTCTTAATTTGTTTAAGGGTTGTTCGGAATTAAAGAACGAGAACAGAATATTAATAATAAAGGCATATAGTTTTAAGGTTCACCTGATACCCTGCACTTCTTTCATGGCAAAAATTTTGTCTTTAATTAAATAAGAAAATTAAAATCACAAAATTATTTGTGTATTTTATTCTTGTGTCCTTTATATATGTGTATATAGCTCTTATTCAGCAAATTTTACCTAATTTTTCACATGTTAATTATAATTATAAGAGAAATTAATGCAACTTCACTTCAGCCTTTGCATTGTAACCATGGGGTTGGTTATTCATTACTATAAACAAGTTATTATTTCACTAGTTGTAGAAGACAGTTCAAATGTTGGTTGGATTGTTTATTCACTACTTAAGTTCACGTTTCCCTAGTAATGTTCACAAGAACTCGGTACATAACTACAAGGATTGTTCGACTTCCGATTGTCAAAACGCTGATCTCCATTCTATATTACTTACTTTCATTTCAAATTATTACTAATATACTTTCAAATAAGAAACGACATACAAACTTCCAACAAACTGAGAGCACACGAATTATCTCACACACACCAACACTTGCCAACTTGTCCAGAACGAATCAAAATGCTTAATTTCTTTCAATCTAGATGATTTTTCATTTCATTTAATTTCCGTATTGTACTTGTAGTGTACGACGACATTTTATAAACACTGCTGTTATCTATGATTTCGTTACTTCCAAACTGCAATTTTTTAAACATTTCAAAATTACAGAATTAATATATAAATTTTTGTCCATAGTTTCTGGAACATCTCGGTAAAGAAGTTGGGACACGTGACAGCGTTTTCAGCCTTGAAACACATTCAGCAGAGTAAACCGTACAATGACAATCGACTGTGGACTTTCAAAGACTGAAAATTGGAGACGAAGGACACTCACTGATTTATATAAAAGACACTCACTACGACGCTGACAGTTTCCAATTGTGTCAGTCACAGTGTTTATGAATACAATCTGCAAATGTGTGGTTTATACAGTAATTACATTTTCTAAGAAATATTTTTTTATATTTAACTGAGAATCAGGCCCAGCTTTGTCATGACGAATGTACTTCATGGTAATTATAAAGTATAAAGTTGAAGTTAAAAAATAATCCATATTATTGAAAATACAACTGGTTATTCAAGGCTATACTGAAGCTGAATTCAATCTGTGCTACTTTAATCCAATGGGAGGAACATGTTCTGTTTTGAGCATTTACATTATTATTAATATTATTATTGTAGTTATTGTAGTTTCTTTCTTTGAAACAGATGGAAATAATTTTTAGAACCGAAGAACCATAATCAGTATGAGCTAGTTATTCAACTTTGAAATACGCCCGTATAAAATTTAAAGTACAGTAATTTGTAATAAAAATTTATTTTTGAGTAGTTTATTTTTTATATACCACTATATAAAAATTAACGGAAAGCCATGTAAACAATATTTTGTTATTGCTTAAAATCTTCAGTTTATCCTCGAATATATCGTCATAGTACTTTGTGACTGTGTACTATAACATCGTAAAGAGCCCATGAACACATTTCATTTCATAGCCTAAAATTAAGTTCTGAATTATTTTATAAAACTGGGAGAAAATTGTTCTGGTAGCAAATTATTGTGCGTCATGCGACTAAAATATCCTCTTTGATACAATTCGTCGCCATTTGACACACAGGTTTTTTTTCTTTCGCAGGTCACAATAAACTTACCAGATGTTTAAAGTCTCGTAACTACCACCTCGTTTGATGTTACCCAAGAGAAGTGATGGTTACTGCAATGTTGCCGGTGTGTAACCGGCTGTAGTGACCGCCGAGGCAGCCACAGAGTAGAGTCGAAGTGTCTGTTGGTCAGGGAACCTACCAGTTGAAGTATCCGCGCGAACACGCTCTAGCACTGCCGCACCACTTCGTCTCCTGCAACGGCGGGCACACTATGCCGCCGCGCCTCGCGTGCTTAATCACTTCGCGTCTTCGTGTCATCTCACCAATACCGCACGACTTGCTGCACGGCCCCCACTGTGTCCAGTCGCTCACCCGGCAGTCGCGCGGTGGCCCTAAAAATGTCACATGTTCATGTTAGTGTAAAACACACTCCGAAATTCTCCCGGAATAACTACGGAAAATGAGCAACCTGGGAAATTCGGCCGAAACTCGAACATAGTGGTCGGCTAATACTCTGAGACACTGCCAGGTACTTCCTAGCTCTTGTGACCAGCCCAAACGTCGTCCAAGTCCTGCGTTCGTGCTCTCATCTGCCCTCGTGCCCTGCACTGACCTCGTCTCCGCTGCCATTGTGTATTACCATACCCTTTTATGCCCTTCCCTCGTACCCTGGATTGTCCTGAACAGGTGCCCATTCCAGCCTTTGTGCCATGATCAGCTCTGCCCATACCTTGCGCCTAGCTCAGAGCTCGTGCCCTACTCTATCCTCGCCTGATATTCCTGCCCTAGTACCCAGCCCATCACAACACTTGTGGCCTCCCCTGCCCTACTGCCCAGCTCAGACCTCGACACCTGCCCTAACCTGTCCAGCCCTCTTGACAAGCCCATAATTGCACTCTTCTTCTCTACCCTGTCCTGCACTCATACCCTGCCCAGCTCAAGTGCCCTACTCTGCCATGATATCGTGTCCCTTCCGATCCCTATCAGAACTGGTGTCTCCGAACCGGTCTCTGCTACACCCGGTCTTTGCCGGACACTGTATGTGCCCACCGGGTCTGTGCCGAACCACGTCCTTGCAGAGACGGCTCCGTAGAAGCCGGGTCATACAGAGAAAGCATCGTGCAGGGACCGTGTACGTCAGAGACAAGATCAGTCTGAGAATGGGTCCGGCAGAGACATAGTACAGCAGAGACCGAGTCCGTCATAGACGGGACGGCAGAAAAAGGGTGGGGCAGAGACGGGATGAAGTATACACCGAGATACGTAGAGATCTGGTGCGACACGAATCGGGCCCGGCAGAACACGTGTCCGACAGAGACAGAGTTCGTCAGAGACCGGGTCAGGCGGAGAATGCTATCGTCAGAGAGTGCTTCCGTCAGAGACAAAGTCAGGTAGAGACCGTATGCAGTGGAAACCGAGAGGAGAGAATTTTGAAGGGGGGGAATCCTAAAAGCGCACAAATCTAAAAAAAATTGAAAAATATCAACTTCAAAATATTTTGGGAATATTTCGAAAAAAAACTATGCGCTTTTTCGACAATATCCAGCATTTTTTGATTTTTCGAAATTTTGAAAAATATGTTACTTTTTTTCAAAATATTCGCTTCCTGCTCCCTACCAGAACCGGCGTCTGCTGGACCCGATCAGAGCCGCACTCGATCTGTGCCTCACCCGGTCTTAACCTCACTATATCCCCTCCGAAAAAGGCCTTGCAGACACGGCCTGGCTGAGACCGAGTCCGTCAGTGTTGGAACGGGAGAGACCGGGTGAGGCAGAGACGGGATAGGGCAGAGACCGGGTGAGGCAGAGACCGAGTCCGGCAGAACAAGGGTCAGACACTGTCACGCAGAGATCTTGTGCGACACGAATGAGGCCCGGCAGAACATCTCTTCGGCAGAGACCGATTCCGTCGGAGACTGATTCCGTCAAAGTCGGGGTAAGGCAGACCGGGTCATTGCAGAGATTGCTTCCTTCAGAGACAAAGTCAGTTAAAAACCGTGTCCGGCAGAAAGCGGGTGTTGGCGAATTTTGATATTTTTTTTCTTCAAATTCAGACATCAGTTTTCAGGGCGGATATGGAATATCTATATTCACATAAAATACTTAGTAATAATAGCGACAATTTCTTACTAATTTTGTGGAGTTTATTCCGGGGCTTTCCTTTGTATTTCTTGCGGTGGTGATCCTTGTCGCCAGTTGTCGAAGTACGGTACGTCTCCACGATGCTGTTCAAGATGGCGTCCTTGTCACCTTTCGGAATAATGCCTGTTGAAGGCACAGACACCCGCGCCAAGGTCATCTGATTCGTACTGCTGAAACAAGGAAATATTCTGAAGAGACAAAGTAAACCATAATCAGTTCTCTGGTAACAGTCCACTACTCCCATGGCATTCAGACACTATCGTATTGTCCCAAGTCACATTTAGGAAGCTGAAAGTGCGAAATAAATATGTTAAATGTAGGCAACATATGTACGAAAATGTGGGTCACTGACGGACGTTCATGATCATCCGAACATAGACTTGCATGTTGGCGTCCGTACTGCAGGTAGAACAATAATATTCGAATCAGCAGCTGAAGTTGCTCAAGACACACTGAGGCGAACATTTCAACGGCTGAATTACCTGCAAGTCATCTGAGACATGCGGTCCTCATGGCGGTGAAGTTGTCGATGGTGGTCTTCTGGGCTATGACGTCATTTGGCCTTGTAGCTCCTCACTGAGGTATCGCTCCCATCTCAATGGTCAGAGCCCAGAAGACCATCATCGATGAAATACACGCCGACCTGTAACCTAGCTCTTAATATGTAACATACCGACAAAATATTGTTACAGTTCTTTGGCATGTTCTTCTCGAACAACAAAACTTTTATTTCAAATGCGAAATCGTTTTACCGAAGCTCTTATTACAGAATGAGATCAGTTGTGAGGCCAATTATCAGACATAAATCATGGCTACAAATACTGTTGGCAAATATTGTGTTAAACTCACGCGGAATTTTCGAGGGTGGCGGTCCCAGTTGTGGAAGTTATCGGCGCATGCGTGGTAGTGCTGAGCTGCTGCATCCGTCGCTCCTGCTCTCTGCGTTCTTCCTCGATCTCCGCCTCTATGTCGTTATTGTTGAGAACGTCGATCGTGTTGCGAGTCATGTGTTCCATACGGAGCACCTCGTACTGCCTGTCGTCCTCCGAGTGGTGGAACACCTCACTCAGTTCGTACTCCTTCACCTGAAAAGCAGACTGTTTCGTTTTTGCTGTGTTCCAGGCGCAGTGGCTCTTGGTGCCCGTCGTCCTCCGAGTGGTGAAACACCTCACTCACTTTGTACTCCTTCAAACGCAACATTCATGCGAATAGTTTCACCAGTTGCTTTAGGAATCCACAGGATCAAAGTACAATTTGAGGTTTTCACGACGGTGAATATGAAGATGGCTGTCTTCTGGGTTGTAGCGCCGTGTAGCCTGGTAGAAATTTACCGAAGTTTCAGATGTCCTTGCTGCCTCCATCATCAGAGCGATGATCGCAGCAGGGACGTCTGAAACGTCGGTAAAATTCTACAAGACTACACGGCGCTACAAACCAGTAGGCATCCATCTTCTTTCAAATCAAAATATTAAATAACAGCTGCCGGCCGCAGTGGCCACGCGATCTGAGGCAGGGACCTCGTGCACCTGGCCGCTGGGACCGTAGGTTCGACAGACTACACGGCGCTACAAACCAGTAGACATCCATCTTCTTTCAAATCAAAATATTAAATAACAGCTGCCGGCCGCAGTGGCCACGCGATCTGAGGCAGGGACCTCGTGCACCTGGCCGCTGGGACCGTAGGTTCGACTCCCACTCAAGGCATTGATGTTTGTCCGCATCCTTTCTCTTCCAGTCTGATGGATAAAGACTGACCACGGAAGGCAAGGCGAAACCACGGTGGTATCTTCGCAAGAAACAGCCCCAAAATGGGGTTGCAAACCAATCCTAGGACTGATAACCAAAAAAAAAAAAAAAAAAAAAAAAAAATAACTATCAAAACATATAAGTTTCCAGTACCATAGTTGATGTACTGTAACATTATCGACCTTTAGTCAGTTTTAAATGGTGTGTCAGAGGTAAAAATGGCTTATTATTTAATTTTAAGCAGGTATCTACACAATACGCCTCGTGTCTATAAATGTAAAATTCTATGAAAAGAAATGTACATGAAGTGAGGTATTAGGTCTATAAAGGAAGTGACTTGCATTTGAAAGATACTCGGTTCGAATCCCGGTACATTACGCACTGTCAAACAATTCTGACGTAGGCGAAACTATTCACTGTCCACAAAGCTCCGTTGCAGACTGCTGAGAAACTCGGTGGAGGTTAAGTTCAGATTCGTGCGAGATCTACTCATTTTGTTAAAAAAAGTTTGTCTATTTTAAAAAAAGGTCAGTACAGCGTAAGGTATGTACTGTAAAGAAACAATCAGTGACCTTAATAGTTGGTGTGAATACAAATTGTGGACCATTTATTTAATTTATTTATATTGTCTCCAATCTCTGTCATTCCAAAAGAACTAAACGTACTTTTAAGAAGTTGCTGCTTATGATTTCGTGGTTGTATTCACAAGATTTTCTGAAGTCCCAGTGGTACAATTTTGCATGGAACAGTGACAAATATAACGTCAGCCACTACGCCAAGATCGAGCAGATACGGGGCTGCATGAAATGTGACGGTGACCTGGATCTAAAATAATTCTTCTGATGTGCGACATACATCGTAACCAACAGTCAGGATGTCTAACAATTAAGATAACTGTCTTCGGAGATGTTTCACCGTGTAGTCTAGTAGACGTTCTGAAGTGACTAATGAATTGGGAGGAATGGGAAAGGAAGCTGACACGGCCTAATTTAAGGTACTGCCCGGAATTTGGATGGAGAGACCGGTGAATACCACGAAACAAACCCAGTCAAGACAGCTGGACTCAGGGTCGAGATTTGAAAGTGAGATCTCCAGAATATTCCGCCCGACTACGACGTTCAGCACCTTCACTGTTGTAACACTGTTTGGAGATCGCTTTAAATCACGAAAATTCTTATCGTGTAACGTTCAAAGCTGACTGCTAACTGCAAGCGTCCCTCTGAGGTCGAAAATTTTACTGTGTGCTTTGCTTCAGTTTATTTAATTCCCTGAAATAAGAGTTCATGTTTACATCCATAGCTTACCATTGGTAAAAGCCTTCTTTTAGCCATAAATTTCGAAAGGAAACAAAAATTACTTTTATTGCTTACTTTTCCTAGTTACACTTTTAATTTAAATTCAGTTTGTTACAGCTGTTACTGTGTAACGTACTCAATTATTTAAACCTTGGATTACTTTTATCGCATTATGAAGTTGACTTTAGTACATTTTCGGTTTGGAGCACATAATGTTTCTTATTAATGAGCATTGCCTCAAATAAAGATATTCAATCTGAAACCGTGTTTACCAAAATGTAATAGAATAAATTGAAATTCGGCTCTTACTAAGTAGGATTTGAGGTTTTCACGGCGGTGCTTCCCAAACCTGGGTAAATTACCCAAAAATGGGTAAAAGTGGTTTTTATTTGGGTAACAACACACCTCGGAATACACATTACACCTACATGTGTGAAGTAGGATTTTCCACTCTTGCCTTCATAAACAGCACAAAACGAAACTGTTTGCTGAACCCCGAATACGATTTGAGGTGTACTCTGTCTCCAATTGCTGCCAATTTTGCGTCTAGACCGGTTCTGGGGCCCACCCAGCCTCCTCTACAATGGGTCCCGGGGTTCTTTCCCGGGGGTAAAGCATGGCCAGGGTGTGATGCTGATCACTCACCCCCATCTAGTGCCGAGGTCAAGAATGAGTAGGAGCTATACCTCCACTCCCCCCAAGCGCCTAAATGGCGTATAGTGGGACAGCTTTACTTTTAGTAAATAAGATGGAGCAGTGGCTTTGTACTCATTGCTGGGACCTGCGTGATGAAATATTCATGGTGAATAATTACCAAATTTTTTGTGGCCGCTGAAATGTTTAGAGATGTTTAAAATATGTTTTCTGTGCAGTTAGTGTTTTACCTACATTGGGTAAAAAGGACTTTCTGATAAGCGGTTTTGGGTAATGAAGGAAAAAGTTTCGGAAGCAGTGCCCTAGACAGACATCTCCGACTCTTACTAATTCAGATACGATTCTTACAGGAATAAAGAACTGGTTTCAAGTTTACATGAAAATTCTTTCAGTTCTGCCAAAATCATTTATTATGAAAACTTAAATTTCCACTATGTATTGCATTTCGCTTTTGTTTGCTAACCTTTCCTCAAGATAAGCCACTTTTACATATAATGAATTTTGAACTGAACGTCATGTAAACTAATTGGTGAAGCGAACAAATTTGGGCCGAAATGAGATTTCTCCGACAATTCCGCAACTCTTCGCCAAGTATAATCTTAATTCGGTACATGTTTCACGCCATGAAACATGTAGATAGATTTCCAAACGGACAATACATATTCATTAAGTATATATGAAATCTGAGAGCCATCTGAGTGAACGGCGATGTATTACGCTTCGCGGCTCCATAATGCAGCAGTCTGCCATAGTTAGTATTCCTTTTGTGACACAGAAATTCTGACAGAGCAGCTTTCACACAGATCCTATCCTTTTGTGACACAGAAATTCTGACAGGGCAGCTTTCACATAGATCCTCTTGCACAATTCATGAACACCTGTTCATGCGCTCCAACATAATGACAGTACGGGCAGATGAAGAACTACCAGACCTTGCATTTGGGAGACTAGTCGATCGATTCCCGACAACAATCATCAAGATTTTGATTGGCTTACTGAATTGATTATGTCAATAGATGTAAATTAACCTAACAGATATCCTACTGTTATGTTTATTAAACGTTTGAATGACTAAATAACTGAGTCGACTAGCATAAGTTACAACCGATTATGGAGGTCCAGGAAAACGTGGAGCGTTTGCAATGCAGCTGGATGCATCAGCTGCCAATGTGTGTTTTGGGTCAGTTTATTGTACGAATGCCTTAAATAAAAATACAAGCACTTTTTGGCGATAATAAGATGGTTGGTTTGATAATAAAAGCAAATAACCTGAATATATGTCAACAGAATGCAGTACAAATCATAGTATTAAGACAACTAATAAATACTTCGAAAATATGACTAAAATAAAATATTTTGGAGCGACGGTAGCATACTAAAATCAAATTTAAAAAGAAATTAGTTTAGCTTCATAAATGGTGGCATTTTAATATATCTATAAGTACTAGAAATTAGTTTAGCTTCATAAATGGTGACTTTTTATCATATTTACTGAACCCACAGCTTTATCATTTGAATTTTCGAATTGGCCCTAACAGAATATGAACCACTGTGGGATGATCATCCAAAGCTATAGACGAGAAGAGGTACATTGACATGCAAGTGACAGAGGGCAGGCAGTCACGACACAGTCCTACGCACGTCTATTGCCGGTAGGTATCTCCCACGGGTATCGTTAAAATGCCTCTATAACATGGCTACGATGCGCATAAAAAATAAATGTCACCACACTGCTCAGGTTAGCTGCCTCAGACTGTCTGCAAACGCTGCTCATTTCTGGAGGATAAAGGAAGCACACAAGGTGTAGCGTGACGCTAGTTAACGAAGTTCTCTCTGTCTTTCAATGGCATGAATATGTTTAGCGGCGTTATACCAGCTGCAGAGGATAGGGGCAAACATTTTGGATGCTTGTCCTATAGACTCTAATGTGCAAATGCCCTTTCTAACTAACTTTCCTGTCCAGTTGAGGAACGTTAACTTCTTAAGAAGGTCTGTGCTCCACACGGATGTGGTTAGTAAATAAAGTGATATCAAGACGCATGAGAGATGAAACATCGCAAGAAAGCATTTCGAAACCACAAGGCCACCTTTCTGGATCAGTGTGCCTGAAGGCGAAGGTTGGAGCGCAGGCACTAGAGCTACTAGCATTACTCAGCCGTGATTCTTCGGCAACTTCTCCGCTACAGCTGCGTGCGAAAAAGAGGTGCTACATTGCGATGGCTACTATAATAATTGTAGTTTCTGTTCAAGAAATTATTTTGTGGGTTGTTGGCCTGTTAGTGAAGGAGACTGCGCGGCGATTTGAAGTTCTATATAACTGGTAATCGGAAATTAATTCATTAAAAAAAGATGGAAGAAGAATTTTGATGTTAGTCACCGTGAAAGTTTTAGATACATTTTATTATAACTTTTTTGTAAGACCAATGTCCGAAATTTCGAGTTAATGTTCTGGTCCCATTGTTTCGCTCTGAACTAGGCAGCATGCATCTTAGAAACATCGGAATTTTTAACATTTAAAAGTTCCATAATACCAGAAGTCTTATGAATGGAACTGCTTACAGTTTTTACAGCCTGAAATCAACATATGTTAAACTCATGGCGCCCTCTGGCACCAAAGTTTGATGGAATTGCTCAGACATGTCAATTCACAAATGCATTCTTTGCTGTTCTTCTCTCCTCACTGATATCGGTGTTCATTTAATTAAGACAGAAAACTATTCTTATAAAGCTAATAAAAAAGTTACGTATCTACTATTGCTTTGTTCTACTTTTAATAAAAGCAATCAACAGGGGGATATCAAAATACGTTGAAATAAATTATATTTGCTTAAATTTCCTTAAATATATGTGATCAAAAAGGTTTTTAAAATTAAGCCTTGGGAATCTAAGTAAATTTATATTTGAACCATACAAAAATATTTTGTAACAAGATATTTTTAATTCGATTCGAGCTACATATATATTAAGAGTTTGAGCAGACGGAAATGTATAAAATCAAATTCATTCTTTCTAATGTCTTTCTAGTGTGACCATCACGAAATCTGGAAAGAAAAATATACAGGCCGAGAGACGGATATTATCTCATTATGCATTAATTTAATGTATTTCAGTAAAATAAAGCAAACAAAGAAATACTGAGCTATCTTTGCTGCCTTGTTTATTACTAAACGTGGGTGGAAAGCTTCACTACTTCCTTACAAAGACTCTGTCCATCATCTGTTGATATTTGTTTAAAAAATCCTAAAAATCACAATGTTTTGAAAGATGGACCCATCCTTTGTCGTTCTCCCCGATCGAGAAATTCAGTTTAGGATACAACGGAGTGCCTCCTCTTTTTATCCGAATATGAAGGAAGATAGATCCTTTGAATCGTTGCGATTTTTGAGAAACTTTAAAAAACCTTTCAACAGACTATGGATAAAGCCCAAAATGGTGAAAGGGGTGATATAACAACACCGCCAAAGACATTCAGTGAACAACTGAGCCGAGATGCTGTCCCATTGTCTGCATGCGCCTCTTACTGCAGTAAGATAGAGTGGATTCAGCCTCGTAGGTGATACACATATCTCAGTTCTACTCCGTAAGTGTGACAGTGCATTAGCAAAATGAAATGCAGTCTTCCATAGAAGATATTTACATAAGATGGGTCTATAGAGCATACGTCATGCAGTTGATATTTTAGAAAAAGAGGGAGGAGATCCTATCAAAAGACATTGTTCTGGAGGAAAAGAACACACTAAAAAATTAAAAGAGAAGTTGGACAACATTTACGTTCGAATGGATTTTCAAATAATGAGTCCATTACTTGGATTTTCAACGTCGAAATGTTCAGCTTAAGCAGAGTGAAAGATAAGTACTAAAAGCAGAAAAGAACGCCTTAAGTCGCAAGCTACAAAGTGTGAGGAAGAATCAGGTAACACAAGTCGTCATATATGAACGGAATATCCAACGGTATTTGAGTGCAAACAATCACCATTCATTTCATGATGTAAAGAGCGTTCTGTCTATAAGTGAAGTCAGTTTGTAGACAGGCTAGAAATTCCTTATAATTCTGTTTATTACACTCATGCAAAATGCACCCTCTGACCGCAACAATAACATACACGGACGTACCAAGGTGCTACATGATATTTGACGATTTTTGATTAGGCAGTTCAAGTGATCAAGGCGTCCTCTGAAAGTCAGTCAGCTTGTTTGATAGCCACGATTCCGTACAGGGATAATCAATTATGTAGACAGTTCTTGTGAGGCAATCTTCAAGTGTCTGCCCGCTAACCTCGGTTTCTGTGGTGCAAAACTCATCTCACTACAACGTTTTCGTGTCGTACATCAACGCGATTGGTTTGAACAACGAATGAATTAACTCTGTGGCGTAAAGTCCTTGAAACATGAAAAACTATTTACGTAGTCACAAGATAACACCCTGTCCGCAGCCAGCTAAATCCAATTCGCCTTTAAAATATTGAAATTAGTTCAGTTCTGTCACGAACGCAGTCAAGATACATTTTGTTTTAAACTATTTATAATTTATGTTTAGAAATGGTGTTAAACTTTTCTGCGCCGCGTTACCACACGGCACGAACGAAACCATTCTTAAGTAGAACAAGAAGTAAACTTCACCCAACTCCCTGCACTGGATACCGTTCTGTCAGTGCCTCTAGTGGAGTGGACGCGCACTAACACGCCACTATGGGAATGAAACACGTGTAAGGACATCAGATAAAGCCCAGTACATAAACAGGCATGTAAGCTACGCATGTACGCACGATTTGTAATATGATTTAGTTATTCTGCCCAGCTGAGAGGAAATGCGTGCAATTGAAATGACCATCACTAATTATTCGGTCGACTTCATACGCATCAAGCTAATGTTATTATAGCCTGTGTGGACAGGCACATGTAGAAAGCTGAGTTGTGAGGTTTATTTAGCGAATAGGATTCATGGGCGACTCTTCAACTGAAATTAACTAACTAACGTGTCTTTGGTTCATAACCACACACGCAACATATAGTCACCTGAAATCAAACTGCAGAGTCAGTTACGAAATGCATGGGACAGGATTATATGTAACAAGTGTGGAATTATGTACATCATCAGCATTAGTTTTCACTCATTCAAGTTACGAATCAATTGCTGAAAAGCTAATCACAACGCAGATAAACACTACTTGCCAGAGGAATCCATTACTTCCCGATGTAGATCTTAAATATTTTAAGCTCTCCCCGGTATACGCTGTGGAGGCGTTGGGGGGGGGGGGAGAGAAGGTATAGGTCTTACTCGTTCTTAACTTCAGCAGTAGATGGGGGTGAGTGATCAGCATCACGCTTCTATTAAATATTTACCACACCGAAGGAATATTCAAATTAAGTTGCCGACATCAGTGACATCTACAATTTATTCCACACAGCAATGATCTGCATGATAAGCTGTCTGAATGTTAAAAATGTAATGGTTTGACTTGACTTTCATGCATCGTGAAATTGTAGTGGATAACAAAGGCCAACAGGAAATTTATTTCACTCGAAGTAAAACAGACCTCCGTGCCAAATTCAACGGAAATCCGTTATGAAATCCAGGATATGAGACAGGGCAGGCCACGTGCCTTGACATCAGCTCTCCATTATAATTGGAAAATGCACTGAAAGCGTAAGACATGATAAGATACACGTTTATTCAAAGGCATTACCTATACGCCACTGTTTAGGCTACCATCATGACACCAAAGTCGGAGAAGTTGCCGATACTACACGGTGCTACCACGCACGGTTGTCGATACGTAACATCAAAGATTTGCTACAAAGGTCTGTACTCCAACCTAGACACCCAAAATAACGACAGACCACAGACCCAAATTCTCAATAATCGCAAGAGTGACTGAGGCATTTCTCCCACCTGAAGAACACCTGTTCGATTCTCGTAAAGAACAAATTTGGACACAGCTTTTGCACCCTCCAGCGCACCTCGATTTTCACATTACCACCACCTTACAAGTGTTCTTCTTCTTCTTCTTCGAACCTGGTCTATGGACCAATGAGGCGAAAGTCACTGGGTGCAAAGTGCCGGGAGTATTGTGTATGAGCAAGATATTCCCAATGACTCTTTTGCAGGAGTACACCATTGTTGTTTCTCTGGACCTGATCCATCGTCAAGTATTCTAAAAACAAAGCCACTAAGTTTCGGGAGCTGGTTCTACTCCCATCTTCAGGTAAAAATACCTAGGCTGATATTAACCCGTGTACATTTATACATTTCCGAAGTAGTAAACTTCTACGTGACACACTGTAATAAATTCTAATTCAAAATATTTGTCTCTAATCAATCACATTAATATATTACATTTTCATTTAATTAGGCTTATATGTTCAATTAACTACACTTCTAAACTATCCAAGCAGAAAATTATAGCCCTAATATGCCCTCACGTTAATGTAGTTTAAAACACGGAGATTAATTAAATATTATCTACACTAATAACAGGGATCATCTGTTTGCAACAAATACTTATGAAATAGTTCTACCCCTCCATGCGTGCAACAGCCGGTGCTAATACATCATGCAGGTCTGATTCCAATAACCTCCGCTGCGGACTACAGCGTTCTCTCTTACCTTGATAAACTGAAAGGTGGCGATGGGGGGTAGTCGCTTCATATAAGGGTAGTAGAATGAACTGGCGGGGTGCGCTGGATAGCGGCTTGTCACCCTGTAGATCAACCCCTGCGGCTCCGTGGGCCAGTTGGGAGCTGTGAATGTAAACCCATTGTCCGTTCCAGCATCCACAGGGTCCACCTGAAACAATACCACCGAGTGATCACAGTGGAACCCACGCTGAGAAGCGAATGAACCGTTAATGCAAGGACACGCCGAATCGTCACAAAACAGAAGAGCTTTAAAAACGAATAGGACAGGAGTTAACCAGTAGAATAGGCAAATATGCTCACGGGAATTTCATTACAGGGGCAGACTCTGTGAATAACTATATTTCCTACATTCGCCACTAAAATTCACAGCCTCCTGTGAAAACTCAGTGTTTATTATTTTGTACACTCATCCGCCACTGATCTTCACAGACCTAGTAAGCCAATTAACATCCACAACCTCTTTACATTTCTTCAATATACATCTATGCATACTTAACCCAAGTTGTCTCTAATAAAAAAACTTTATTTTTCACATTAATCTGATACAAAAACTATAATTTAATTTGGTGTAGTCATTTATCAAATTTTTTGTCTTTTAAAGTCCATAAAATCTGAGTACACGCGATGTTTGTCCTACAGTCTCACATCTCCTGAATAAATAAATCCAAACACCTGAGGCCTCTGCATCGTACAAAGTCGAGAAAACAATCCGGTATTCAAATCGATTTTCTATAGCAAGGACTCCGTCTTTGGTATCGACTGAACAGTGTATAAAAACAATGTTCGATACGAATTTACCGACTCAGAAGGAATTCTACTACCCCCTCCAGCTCCCTTAGTTCATTACGGAAGTTGAACGGACAGAAATGCGAAGGAAACGGACTGAGCTTACAAAGCTTCACGTAATGCCACGCCGCGCGTGTTTAAAACGGGTTGTGGAGAAGTTTCTGGGGCAACACTTATTGCATGGGATTACAAATAGTTTTTGCACAAGACGCACAGAATTAAAGCACAACTACGAGATCGTATTAATCTGTAAGCATGTTTAATTCCTCAAACTACTATACGTAAATAGGTAACATTTGATGTTTGGGCCATAAGGGAAAATGTTGGAAAGTTTTCATTTTCATTTCACATAGAGACAAAAATAAATTTTTACCGATTTTCTTAAAATACGACTGATGTCAACATTGATAGGTAAGCGTATGACAAAATATATCTCATCAAGTTGAAGGGAAGATAGAAAGGGTAAGGGGGGGTCAAGCTTGCCCTCCACCCGGTACGTCGGTTTACTAGCGCCAACGAGTGTATCTAACAGCTCGGATATATCTTGTGTCAAGTATATAGCGCATATCGCGCTTCATATTTTAAGAAAGCATGTCATACACTATACACATAATAGATGGAGTGTTACCTATTTATTTACTTTACCATTTAACGGATTGGGGGCCACGTGCTTTGTCTTGGCGCAAATATTGTTGACGTATTTCAGAGACTGACTCACCTCGATAGTGATGCTGTCCAACCAGTTCCCATTCACACACAGATCGAAACTGTCGATCCCAATAAACCAATCAGGAGATGGCACAATCCTCGACATGAGTGACACCTAAACGAGACACAAACAAAGAATTTACGATAAATATGAAACAACTGTCACATGTTTTATCATCAGATAGCAATACTATTATCACTGAGTCAATACGCAATGACGTACTGATGTCGGGGCTTGGATAAATTACATCACAGGATCATTTCTGACATTGCGGATGTATGTTACATGTTAAACAAGACAAATAGTTCATCATAAATCGCATGAATATGGAAGAGAAATGCAATCGGTTTTATCAGCAAACTTTTGCATAGAACATTCCACTGCTATCAAACGTAACAGATAAAAAAAAATCTGTAAAATTATGGTATATTACTATAATTATACTTTAGTTTTATAAACTGCTTTCATGTTCACCGGTGAAATTACATGTTACGCTACATGTCAGCTTCTGAAGAGGAAACCAATTAACAATATCGAAGTACTAAGCTGATTACAAGCGTCTATTACGCCACAACTGTAATGGCATTCTAATATGCTCGGTGTTCAATGCTCATAAAAGCTTAAAATTGTGTACAGGACTCTTAAAACATTGCATTCTATGGCAGGGATCTCCGAGAGGTCTTTACAGTGTGGCACAAATACTCCTGTGACGTATGCAGCTTGGAAATAAACGTGCTGCACTACTAGCAGACCGAAAAACGTCGCGCTCGTTATAATGTGACGTATACCTCACACTCTTTATTTCACCCGACGCCAACCTTGAACCCCTCACTATCCTTATCAACAAATTTAATCTTCCTGGAAAACAATGAAATAACCTTACGACAGCTTCTTCCTTTTCTGAACACTTTTTTTATTGATAATGTTCTTTTCCTTCGGTTTTGGCGTAGTGTAGACCCGTCAGTAGACGCCAACGTTTCGGAGAAAAATACTTTCTCCATCTTCAGAGCTTAAGTATCTATGCTGGAAAGCGGAGGGCTTTTATAGAGTTAGAGGAAACGAAGACTAAGCCCTACATAAATCTATCCACTGTCCTGCATAGCCACTTAAACCCTGAAGATGGAGACAGTCTGTTTCCCCGAAACGTCGAAATCCACCGCTGAGTCTATTTTTTTAAACCAAAAATATAAAAATCATAACCCGATAATGTTTTTGTATATCCTCATCTTCTGTTGATGCTGCGCTTAAATAACCTGCAACGGATCCTACATAAGATAATTCAAGGAAAAAGCAATGTTCCCACATGGGGATAGGGCATACATGTATCGACTGTGATGAATAAGTAGCAGGTGATGTATGAGCAATGCAGTGGTTTCCATCTTACAGAAGAATGGATGAACAAGTGAAGAAACGAATGCGAACACTCAGTCATTCATCACCTATGACACCCGGACTGGCTGTTGGAATAGGAAAAAAGCATTTCCTAAACGAAGCAGTCTGGGGCGCCACGTACGAGGCTGTGCGCACTTCTTCTGCGCAGCCCACCTCAACTCAGAACAAAATATACAATCCTATACAAATCGCTGACGCCCTGCTTACTGCATCTGCTCCGCTACATAAATTAGCAATACCTTATCATTTTTATACAAGTATTTGGTAACTTTCATTCTATCATGTTTCTTCTTGCGAAAATGCGTTCAACCAAGGCTCAGATGCTTGAAGTAAAGCGAAAGAGATCATCAATCTATGACCAGTAGTTAAAAAATAAAGCGGGTACTGTTCGCTGGGTTGTTATACACATACGTCATTCTGCAAGTAGTTACGTTGAGATGTTACCGCCAAAATAAGTTTTTACGAGTGTTACGGAGAGACACTGAACATTTTATGGAACGTACGAAACATTTTACGCGGAATCCGAAAAAAATTTCCTTGAATCGCCTCGCAGTTCTAACGTAAATTAGGAAAATTAAACACGTAGGATCGACTTCAAGTCACTGACAGCCGCTCCAGTGGATAAACTGAAGTACACTGACAGCCGCTCCAGTGGATAAACTAAAATTCGAAAACAAGATTTACGTATAAAAAGTTCGTCAAGTCATCCAAACATTAAAATTCTGTGTATCTGATCCATTTTACACAGTTTTTGTGCCTCTAAACTGTATCAACATGTAATTTACGTTAATGTAGAGGTGATAACATTCAACAGGTTGAAACAACTTACAGAATGGCATCCTGAAGTTTCCGAGGAAAAAATACATCGTCATCCCTCATTACGCCACTAAAATATGGGCAAAATTCTCAGTGTTTGCTTCGTCTGATACAAATTTCATGCGTCCAAAACTGGGGTCTGCGCTTCTCCCATGCGACAGTGCACGCTTCATCTGCAGTCTGTGTTGGCTGGAAGCAAAGTGCGGGCCTAAGCCGAAACGGAACCAGTGCGTGTCACCCATGTGACTGGAAGTAACTGCCTCTTCCGGCAACCAGTGCAAACAGAGCGTGCTGACTTCAGCACTGGTGAGAGCTTCGAAATACGAGGTGCGATCGGAAAGTTTCAAGACTGTGTCAATAGAGGGCGAACCGGATGTAGTACGAGCTTCTGCCGCTAGGGGGTGCGGCCTACATTCATAGTGAATCAGTGTGCCAGCCGGCATCATCGAATTAGCATTTGTTTCTTAGTTACGGGCGTTTTGGTAGGTCATTACCCCGACCCTCCTGCGATTTCGGAATGGCGTGTGCATCAAATTTTGCCAAAGACTCGCCAAAACGGCTACAGAAACCTATGAAATGCTAAAGCAAGCATTTGGGGAGTCCGCAAACTTTTGTGTGGCATTCACGTTTTAAAAAGGGCCGGCCGAACCTCTGTCGATGATGACGAGAGTTCTGGACGACCATCTTCGAGCACAACGCCCGAAAAAGTTACGAAGATCGACGTCGTACCATCAACGACTTGTGCGACATTGTTGGGATAGGCTATGGGACCTGTCAGCTGATTCTAAAATTCAGCTAAAGGGAATGAGATTTGAGACGATAGAAGAGATTGAGGCAGAATCGCAGATGGTGCTTGACAGGCTGGCAAAGAAAGATTTCCAGGGATGCTTCCAGGCTTGGCAGCGGCGCTGGGATCGTTGTGTTCACTCCCAGGGGAACTACTTCGAGGGTGATGGATGAATTTAATACCTGAGATAAGTGTACGGGTTTTTATACGCGCAGTCTTGAAACTTTCCGATCGCACCTCGTATATGTACATGGGATATAAGAAACTGATAACTAATTTTGAAAGCTACCAAAACAAGATTTACAATTTTGCTCAAATGTTTGGAGAGAAACAAAATAAAACCCAAGGCCATATAGAAATCTATAACTTGGACGGATTTTCTTAAAAAAATAATAAAATCCTCTCGGGCTATCAGCCGTGTCAAATGGTTAAACCTCGCCGACTTTCTTCAAAAATCTTTCTTTCCACAATATTTGTGTAAAGGCTTCTTTATTGGGTTTAAAATATATATTACGCTAAATTATAAAGAAGCTGGTGTTTCGAAATGGGCCGCAGAACTGGGCACGGACAAATAACAGAAGAGATAATCACTCCTTTAGCACTTAGTAACAACTTTAAATCTATCTGGTAGAACAAATAAACAAAAGAGAAAGACTTTAATAAAATATAGAAAATTAAAAAGAAGGAAATTTACAAACGATAAAAATTCTGCCGCTTCGACTTTTAGAAAACCCCAAATAACAGACAACTTGGACAATCAATTCAGCGCCGACCATTGCTACAAAATAATAATGTCACGCTAGGTTCTGGAGCCAACGGTGTCACGTCTAACATCCTATTTCCCTAAGGTAATTCCTTTAAGTCCTTGTTGCATTTCAGTAGAATGAACTTTATAGTGTAAATGAGTGTCATTTGTTCCTTCATACATTACACCGCTCCTTCGTTCATTGCAAACGTTTAATTTAACAGGAGTTGGAAATGGCAGTAATATATTTGTATTCTTCTACTTAAATGCATAAATGCCTTGTCATTACAAACAGGATTCAAAGGCGGAACTCAGGAGATCCTGGGTCAACGAGAAGTGTTATTGTAGCCCAACCACACGGATTTATAGATTAAATAATAGCAGACACATTTACAGGAACGCGTTGTAAAGAGCCCAGTATATGTCTCAGCAAATTAAAGTGTGTTACTAGAGCAAACCGGCATTCGTTTCTTCGATATCCAAATAAAATCTTAGTAGAAACAGATTAATTGTACATTAAAATATAATTCAAATTTCTAAAACACTTCACCACTTATGATTTCGAAGAATTACAGCTTTAGCTTTAATATCAATCACTGTTACTCATAAATGTGTTTTAATAAGGCACCACACACAACTATTATGATTGTCAATTCACTTCGATTCAACAGTAATTACCAATTTAGCCCGTTATTCGTGTTATTACTTCACCTTTTTAAAAATAACTAATAAAAACATTGATATTTTACAATAACTTATCACCATTCAAAACCTCCAGTCCATTTATTCATATTCAATATCGTCAGTGCAGAACTTCGGTCTGTGTTCGCGCTGCTTCTTTAAATCCTCAAGGCTACGTAATAATTAATACACATCAAGAAGAATCGAGATTCAAAGTCCTGTCCTTCATACCGAAATTCACAAAAGCAAGTCTACCAGCGCTTATAATGTTCCATTAGGGGATTATCAGACGGACGGACACACGAACTATAAACCTTCTTAATAGAATTCCCAGGAAGGTATTTGTTATCGTAGCAGTCGAATGGCATTTACTTGGGCGGTCAGACGTCCCTGAGGACGGAACTGAAACCACTGAGCTACACAGCGTTCTGAGGATCACAGAACTTCCACATGTATTCCACTGGGCACGGAAATACACAAATACACTCGTTACACAGCGGAGGAGCAGTCCGGGGTCTTAAGCGGACTCAGCACTGAGTTCGCTCGCTGGCTTAGCTCTTACATATTTATCAGACCTTTTAGCTAGTTCATTGTCGTAAGTACTGTAGGGACCAGATTATCTACTTCTTAGGGCGGCGTAAAGAATAAGGTAAAATGAACTGAGTGCGCACCTCCACGCTTTTTCATCCATTTAATAAATACTGCCATGTTTAAAATCGCAGTATGCTTGAAGCTGGTTCAGACAGTAATGTGAAAAACTGAACTGTCTCTCTCTCATTAAATTAACATATTCCATGCTTTGCTATTTCCCATGTATTACTTGATCTAAAATTCAGTCTGGATTGTCCAAAATTACGAAACTTTTTATATGCAGTTTATAATTTATGTATGTCAACTAACAGCACCTATTTTCAGCCTAATTGGGTCCAGAAACAATTCTCTTCAAACTTGATATAGAAAGAACTTGACGTTTAAAGATATCGATTCAATACGACCATCAATACATACCTACATGAAACATTTGTCATAAGGGCTCTCAATAATTTTTACTTCGAACATGTTTAGATGCCTTCTGTATCACAAAACACGAGTAGAAGAAACCATACAGTGTAACATCTGTGATGTTGATCATCTCATCAATAGCATGTTTTGTAACTTTAACAAATAAACATCAACACACTCGAACTGCAATGAGGATGGCATACCCTGGAGTGGTTTCCGTCCACGAAGAACTCAGCCTCTGTGCGCCCTGATCCCGTACTGATGGGTGGCGCGTTAAACTCGTCGTACACGCCGCCCTCGCCCTGCGTCTGCTCCTCCAGGACGTCAGTACGCCCCGTTTCCGCGAACGTCTTGACGCCATTTGACGCCCGCGTCCCCAGGCGGAACAGCACGAATGACTTGTTGTGCGAACGGCCTGCGCAGACAGAAACACGTTCACAGATGAGTGATATAACAAGGTAAAAGGGGAAAGGATCGGAGAGGAAGGGGCCATTTTAAGGCACAACCGGCATTCACCTGGGGGAAACAATGACGATTAAGAGAACGCTCAATGAGGACAGCAATGCAATTGCCAGGACTAGAAACAGGGACCTCAGGATGCACTAGGACGTTACAGCTTTAGATAACTTACTCGGTAAATTGACTGTCAAACTGTACCGTGTTTAAGTTGCATCGCCCTGATGACGGAGGCAGTATGGCCTCTGAAACGTTGGTTAACATCGACCATACTACACAGCGCAACAACCCAGAAGACGGAAATATTCATACCCATCGCCCTGATGACGGAGGCAGTATGACCTCTGAAACGTTGGTAAACGTCTACCAGATTACACAGCGCAACAACCCAGAAGACAGAAATCTTCATGAAGAATTTGATTAAGCTCGATTCGAGTTGCAAGCGGATCGATACAGCCCAAAATAAAATTCGACCAAACGAACTAATAAATTCCATCCAGCGGGTTGGAAGATGGAACAAGCGGACTTAAGAGACCTTACACCCCCTTACTGCGTTCACTTATGCATATACGTAGTGCAAGAAACGCATAAAAACCATCAGAATACAATTTAGTTTGGTTTGAGTAATCTCACGGGAGTTAACTTGTCTAGGAAGAGAAAAGAGGCGGAGAGAATAAGAAGAGAAAATTACGCCACTGATACCACCATACAGTTCCACGTTGGGGGGTTGAATTTTAAGTGGATTGTGTGACACTTCTTTTGCAAGAGGGCCATTCGTTCGGCGGGAACATATATCTCCCCATTCAACATCAACGGTCATATGGAGAACTTGAGGAGTCATTTCTCGTTGACACTTTCATCGGAACACCAACCTGCTCTTACAACGCTCCATCGAAAGTTTTTCTTCTCGACTTGCCTGTAACTTCTGTAATCATTCTACAAACTTTCCGAACGCAAAAGAACATTGCCCTTAATATAGCTTATCCAAAGCCGTCGGCCACTTAGCAGTCGACGTCCTGACTTTGCTGCACAATTATATTACCTTATCACGTTCCTAATTTGTTTTACCTAGGCCCGGCTGACACTTTAAGAAAATGAAAATATAAAGTTCTCCGTCTTACTTTCTTGGTTCAGTGGCACACGTTTTACTGAAACACACCCAAATCTATCAGATAAAATGAATTGTTAGCACGATAGTTCATGTTTACGCTCGTTACGAGCACTAACAACGCGTGCCTGGCAGAAGCTGGATAATGAAGGTAAGGGAGAGAACTATTTTATTCGTTAGAAGTGAATCCGTCCAACATAACTTCAACGGACTGCTGACACTGACTTGCATTCAAGGACCTTTACATCACCATGAATACACTGCGCTACCGTGGAATCCTCCAAGGCCTTCATACCGCCATCATGTTAACGAGAGGTGTCACCAAATTTCATGACAATGTCCGTTCATATATAACCCGCACTGCCCAGGACAAGCTGTGATCCTTGCGATGGAAGATGAAGGGACATCCTCTCCACACCTCGGACCAGTTCGGAGCGAATTCCACTTGTTCGGTGTCTCAAGCAACTTTGAGGTTAGGTTTAGCAAATTGAACATAAAATATGTAATCGAAACACTTTTTCAGAAATATACTAGAAATGACTACTACTATTTATTTGCTTTATAACAGCCATAACAATGTTGTCCTACAGAATATTTATAAAGGATAAAACAGCAACACAATGGCTTGAACAAAGATTGGAATAGAAATCCAAACGTAGGAGCTGAAGAAAGGGAAGTTTCGACATGACACGATGGAGTATAAACTGGGAAAGGGATATATTGGAAAATTGAGGTTGATTTTGAAAACGAAATTGAATGCCAAGAATAAAACGAAGGCGGTATAAATGCTCGCTGTACCAATACTTCAGCACATGAGCAGCTTTGGAGAAATAAATTGGAGTCTGAATGAACTGAGGAATACTGAGACGAAGAATAGAAATCTGCTGACAATGCACGACCTGTTTTACTATACAGCAGATAAAGACAAGCTGTATCATAAATGAGAAAGAAGCAGCAAGAGGGCCGATCCAATTAGAAGGAGCGCAGAAAGAAGAACTAGTCAATATTTTAAACGTCTGAGAAGATCCCTTAGTAGGTATCATAAAATATCATGATAACAGCCGAACCAAATCAAATTCCAACAAGAATTCAAGTAGATTTGAGTACGCTTAGTGAATGGAAAGAAACTACGAAAATGGAGAGGAAACAAAGCCAAAGGTCATTGATAACACAAGATACGAAAGAGAAATGGGAGAATAGACTATATATGTACACCCAGACCATTAAGGATTTTTCTGACTTACAAATCGGGAACTGCGATGTTACGTTTAGTATTCTGGTCGATGTTTGTAAATGTTTCAGAGATGTATGCTGCCTCCATCAACAGGACGCATTCCTTGAAGATTGGAGGCAGCAAGTACCTATTAAACAAAGATAAACGTCAACCAGACTTAACGTCAAATTGAAGACAGTCATATTTTAAGAAAAACCCAGGGCAGGCAGATTACTATACTGTGGAATCGACAAATGACAGCAAACAGAACTATACCATGGAACAAACATGACCTCGTCCTTCAGGATAAAAAGAGGATTTATTTAACTCTTTAAGACTCAATGGTAATTATACGTACCACCTGCTTCAAAATCAATAATTCTGCGCTTTGCATTTACGGGCTTCTTATGATTCTTAGTGTAATCACGAATTATTTCCTCAAACCTCATTAACTAGCTGATCTTTGTAATGATGAAATGTGTATCTTTGGAGTATGGACTGAATTCTAAAATATTATTTATACGAGCTTCGGTTTCAAAGAGTTAATAAGTGACATTGTATACCAAGTAACAAAAATGTAGCGAACAAACAGAAAAAAACATTAAAATCAAAATATTACTGAGTGAAATGAAGCACATATGAAACGTGAAACTGTTCCAGAAAACATATCAATTACTTAGGCTGCATTATACGCTAAAAGAGATAAGACGATAATAAAATAAAATTAAACAAAATTCAACAATTCTGTTAAATTATAAAAGCATGTTACAATAGAAATACGAAAAACAAAATTTACTAGAATTATAAAGAGGAACAACCATGCCTGAATCTAATGTCGGACGTAATAAAAGAACAAATGAGAAGAGCGAATACTTCACAAATGCTTTTTCTCAGCGAGATCGTAGCTTACGTAATGGCGTTTATCACAGCAGATATCAATACAGTAATAAAAATTCTATCAAAATAAATGGCAAGAACATTTGGAAAGAATACCTGAAAGTACTCAGACCTTCTCTTTGAATGCAAATACAAACAAAAGAGCAGAAGACAATAAAAGACGGGAGATACACCAAATGGAACATACCATGACAACAATAGCGAGTGGCGCTGATGAGGTTTGAAGTGTTTCTGTGAGAAGATAATCTGTGAAGAACATTTCTAAAGAATATCAGAGACATAAGTCCGTACGATCCAACTAAACAAGACAAATATTAAATATTTCTGTCTTCTGGGTTATTGCGCCGTGTAGTCTCGTAGATGTTTACCGACGTTTCAGAGGTCCATCATTAGGGTGATGAGTAATGATTAAGGTTGGTTGTACAGGTATTTCGGACGGAAGATAGAATAAATAATAATTTCATAATTTTGGTATCAAACGGAAGACCTTGTTACATCTATATGCGGTGTTGGAAAGTCGGGCTTTTATTGTCTCTATTGTCAGTGAGATGTTCTGTTACGGAGGTATGAAATATTCAGAATTCGAAATGTGTGCAGCTGTGAAGAATGAAAACAGGCAAGTTGCTTTAAGATAAGCATCGAGACTCAACATTTTAACTTCAGGAAAGTTACATTTCCTGAGAAACCAGGAATCCTTAGACGAGCAGAGCTAAGTTTTGAATAACAACGCGTGTTCTACAAAACAATCCGTTGAGAAGTACCTAATGTATGTGGTATTGCTATATAATTACGCTTTTGAATAATTCATTTGGGACGGAATGTAGCAAGACAATAGTCTGCGGCTTCAGTTAATCCAACATCCCAGCATCCGACTGCAGAATATCACGTTCAAATTTTCTCAACGCTAAAACCCGATTCCCCAGTATGAATTACACACGGCAAACAGAAATTGACCGTCTCAAACAGCAAAACACAAAGCGGCGAATTCAATGAACTGATCATTTTTAAGTAATGGAATAATAAATTGTTAAATACGACGTAAGCCTTGTCTGCAAATTGGCATTATGCTAATTTCTATACATTTCTTCGTCAAGAATGATTACGGTGATAGATCAAGGATGAAAAATGGACAGGGAATGTGGCATGCGGGCGAGAATTGAGAAATTCGAACAAAAATGAAGTCGGAAAATCTTAACCAAAGAGAGTATTTGAGATATACAGGGGAATATTTAACAATAATATTAAAGTGGATATTAAACAGGGTGTGAGGATGTAGACTGCATTTATCTGGCTCAGAACTAGGTACGGGGGTGGGTTCATGTGAACACAGAAATGGGCCTAAGGGTTTCATAACAGGCGAGGAATTTGATTAGTCAAGTCGCCGGCAGAAGGTTTCACGTGTATACAGCGCGTAATTAACAATATCACACGAGCAAGGACCCATAAATTTATAAACCAGTCTCGAGGTGCATTTAGTTGTTTTATGTTACGCAACGAACATGAAACATAAAAACAGGCACATAATTATCACGCCCCTTAATGTGGCATACTAGTAGTTTGGCAAAAAAGAAATACAGAATGATACAATATCAAATTTCATAAATTTGAGTATATGAACGTAAATAAGGAAAAAAATGCAAATACATGCTGGTCTAGAAAAGTATCTATTTTCAGATACGGCCCTTAAAATCGACATATGCTGCAAATCTCTTGTACCGCACAGCTGTAAACACGTAGGTTGTCTTCCATATTAAGGCAGTCATGAAAAGTTAGTTTTCGTAGCGATTGCTACGGGGATACTCAACTACGCGAAATAAATTATTCTGACATAACCGTTGTCATTGTGCATTAATATGATTTTGGAAACTAAATTGCTATTAAGTGCTACAAGCAATTACTACTACAGCATCATAACTCATTTCTTGAGTCGTGAACCATTGAACTTCTCCGTTCTGTAGCAGAGGCCTTTGGCGTTTAAAGAACACAGACATTGCACAAAATTAAGGATTAATAAAACAGAACATTTATTTGATAATGAATGAAGAAAATAAATATAAATGTGCTAATTCACTGCTGGTGTTCAAAATGAAGACTGGTTTTCGGCGTTTGGAGATAAAATTGTTCTGCCTAAGTTAATTCTTAGCTTGGGTAGTTCATTTTACAGGCTATTACATGAAACCACCAACTTTCACTATCCACTCGGAGGGATCATTTCATACCATATTCATATTTGAGCAACATCCCGGCATCCCAAACCATAACAGACCATAAGAAATTAAAACACTACCAACAAAGACAAGTACCGTACTAGCCAATAAATTTCCAACCAGCAATCTCAGCACGTTCAATGTACAAACTCAAAATGCGTTATCTCAAAATATAAACGTTTTCGAAGCAATGTGCAATAATAGTAGCCTTTCTACTTTTATATGGTCATATACATTCTCAAAACTACGATAACGAATATTGAAACACTAGTGTACATTTATTTCCACTTGCTGCATTACCTTTTCCAGTGTTTCGAGTGAAATACACCACTGTCACGGCGACAAGATATTTCCATTTGGCGTGTACTTCAGCCGGTTTGTGTCACAACACGCAGTCAACATCGCGTACGTTCTGT